ATTAACAAAATTAACCCTTGCAGTGGGGGCTACCCCTGAATTGCTCACCCGATCCTCTGTACCGCGGCAGTCAGTACTCAACACTCTCCTCCTCTGGCTGTTGTGCGTCACTTGACATCCTCAAATCTAATGCAGGTGAATGGACCTGCATTAGACATTATGTCACCATCACCTAGACCGCTAGAGCCCGGGTGACTATATGTTCTTAATTTTAGCCCCTAGGTCAAAATAAACAGTTAACCCTTGCAGCGCAGGGGTAACCCCACTGCAATGGCCAATTCTAATCATTCTTTGAGTTTCTACTTAAAGCTGAACTCCAGCTATAGTCCTGCACAGTTGTACCAGCTCCTCTTTTGGACTGAAATAGTTTACTCCGATTTCACTGTACACTGTGAGCTTTTCATAAATGTTCATTAGAAGCTGCAGCAGGTCAGCCAGAACCGGTCTTATTTCTGGGCTGGAGGACTTCCAGGATCATCTAGGTATTTAATTCTCAACTTTACTCGTCCTGGCCCATTTACTGGATTTCAGTTCTTTTAAAGTATGGAGGCTCAGCATCACACGTGGGCATTACCACACTTTTCTGTCTTCAGGAAATTTTGTTCAGCACCCTTCTGACCCCTCCCACCAGCCATGATCTGCCTAAATTGCATAGGGAAGCACATAGACCTAGGGATGATGCAACTAGATCAAAAATATGTAATAAAAAAAAAAATTTGTTTATTTCATTGGCATGTTGGGGAGGCAAAAATAAAAGCAGAACAAACTTCAGCTTTAAAATAATTTAGTAAATGGTGTATAGGGGCCCTTTGAAACTAGTTCGAAATTATTTTCAAAAATCGATTAGTTAGCCGATTAAGTTCGATTAATCGGTTAAAAAATAAAAAATACATTTCAAAAAATTGTACAGGAGAAAGGATTGAGTGGTAGAAGTAAAAAAAAAAAAAAAAAAAGTGTGGTGCAATATAGTGAAATGAAAAGTGTAACATTATACAGCAATTAATGCAGAATACCACCAGCTATAGAGGAATACAACAAATCCCAGCAATAGTACATTATAGCTGGCAGTATTCCACATTGCGCTGTATAATGCATTATTGCTGGGATTTGTAGTCCTCTATAGCTAGTGGTATTCGGCATTGCACCACTGTATAATGTATTATTGCTGGGATTTGTTGTGCTCCTCTATAGCTTGTGGTATTCCGCATTGCGCTGTATAATGTATTATTGCTGGGATTTGTAGTCCCCTATACAGCGCAATGCAGAATACCACCAGCTATTAGAGGAATACAACAAATCCCAGCAATACATTATACATACAGTGTATAATGTATTGCTGGGATTGGTATTCTTATGTACAATATACAGCACAATGTAGCATCAGCTATAGAGGAATACAAATCCCAGCAATACATTATAGAGCACCATGTGGGGGGGAGTGCAGGCTTACCTGAGCAGTCCTTCAGCAACTTGCTTCTGAGATCGGGCCTGTCTATCGACGGCTGTCTTCCCCCCACACCTGCTCCTCCTTAGTTCTTCTCTCGCTGCGGGTCTGGCAGCGGCGAGCATGAGGTGGAAAGGAGGTGCGGCATGCAGCGTGTGTGGAGCCATGAACAGGGCCAACTAATCGGAAGCCGATTAATCGATTGAAAAAGTTGACAACTTTTTCAATAATCAATTACAATTGATTCTAATTGATTATGTCGATTAGTTGTTGCAGCCCTATTTTAAACCAATGAAGGTGTTGTAACAGAAGAAGGATTAAGCTACAGAAACATTACATAGAAGAACAAGGGCTCATTTATTCCATCTGCGCTGGCCGTTGTTTCCAGCACAGCCACAACGCAAGACAAGGCAATTTGCCTTGTCACGTATGAGGCCCATTCACACCACTACGTTGTGGCAGGAACACGGTAGTGTGCGCTGAAATAAAGTAATCATGCCTTACTTCTTTTTCCCCCCAAGTAGCAGGATGCGACGACATACAACCACCTCGCACCCCGCTGTGCTCATAGTACCTAATAAAATGTCACTTGTGACATCTTACTAAAAGTTATAGCAAAAAACAAAGTAGACAGTGTGATGTGCTGGGATCAGCACTTCGGCACCATGATGGGCACCGCACACCAGACACTGTGCAATTAGCCCTAAAATGTATGTTCTGCAAAAAGTTTGTTTCTTCCTATTACAATTGATTTGGGATCGTTTACAAATATTTCCCCTTGCGTCTAGTCCTGCTGACAATTTTACCAGACAGGAAATAGCGGGGACATTACAACATTATATACACTTTAAACAATACTGTTTGCAAATATGCATGCCACCCTCAATAATGTGATTAAACACAAAACCTATTCTCATACAACAATACACAGATTAGGTCCAAAAATATTTTGACGGGAACTGGAAGTAGCCCTTATCTGTGCAGTGAAAAGTCATCAGGCTCTTTTCTTGTTGAAATTCTGCAGCCATTACACCGCCCACTAAAATGTTCACTTCCATTTAGATAATCGTTTTCTTTGATTTAAGGCAAATGGCTAACAGCTACATGTCAAGCACTCTTTAACTTTTACATTCCTACAGCTATCACATGAGTCAATAAGTTGTTCTGGCATGCTTGCTAGAAGCTGCGTGCCATATGATTCCATCTTGCCAAAGTGTGAGAAAACATACATTTACAGATCTATGGGAATGTCGGACATATGCCCCTTCTTTCCCCCTTTACTGGTTCCCTCCATACTGGGCTACCAAAATAACAAATTTCAGTAAAAACTCTGTGAGCTGGGTACGTGCTGGTCACATTCTTCACTTGAAAGCTTTGCAAGAGATTTCCTGAAGAATGATACAGCGTGCAGTGACATTTCCTGTGCGTGATCATATTATGTGTGTACGAACAGAAAATACATGGTTAGGCATCACAGCACCCTGCATCACCTTCCTTAGCAGCTCTGCAGTATAGGAAAACCTGTGCATGCTCATTATCAATCCTAGGATAGCCCTAAACAGCCCAATCTTTACCCATGAATTGTATTGGGCACCAAACTGGAGGAAGTACCAGGCTATTATGGCCACCCAAAGCAAAATAGTATACTGTACCTGCCAATATCTAACTTGACCAAGTGGTGTAGCCAAAGAGATATTGACCCCAGTGCAAATCTGGACCAAGCCCATGCCTCAGTGTACATAGCACCATAGCGGCCATTAATTCCCTTTGCTCCCTCACCATTTAACCATGAGAGCAAAGAAAAAAAGTCTTGTTAAAGTTCCAAGATGTAACTTGCAGATTACATTTTGGCTGAAAACTCTCTCCTTGACCAAAATGTGACAATGCTGGGGTGCATGAGAAGGCAACAGCCAAGCATCAACCCCGTCACAGAGGAGGAAGAGAGGTTAGCAAAGCACAGGTTCACTTAAAAGTAAACCTTACTGTTTTCCAAATAAAATGTCAGCCTGCATTAAATGCAAGAGTCAGGTAAAACTTCCTATTGGACCACAAGGTTGTTGATCATGCTGAACAACCAACAGTTGCAGGAGGTGGGGGGTATTTTCATATTCATGTTCCAAGTGATTCAGGGCTCCCTTGCCCTCTGAAAGCTGTTAAAAGATAGGCACATGCACTTAAACACTTGGGTTCTAATGCTTTGTACAAGGTGTGCCAGTCCAACAATACAAATTACAGTAGGGGGGGCTTAGGAATTACCTCAAAGTACAGCTGCTGTATTTTATCCAATCAGCAGGCTGGGGGGAGGAAAGGTGAATTACAAAACAGACTAGAGTCCCAGGAGGAAAAGTGGCAGGACCCATACTGCAAGGTAAGGATGCCAACCCAAGTCATCATACTGCATTTAACACAAGACTGATTTCAAGGCAGACAGAGGTTGAACTTTGCACACAGAGGATTCTTGCATCAGTAAGAGCAAGGTATAAAATGTGGCTTAGTGGTTAGCACTGCTGCCTTGCAGCACTGGTGGCCTACGGGTCAAATCCCAGTCAGGATACTACCAGGTACTCCAGGTTTTTTCCACACTCCAAAGACCTGTTGGTAGGTTGTCTCCTGTCTAAATTGGCCAGTATGCGTGTAGAGGTAAGGATCCTGTAAGTTTCTTAAGGGCAGGGACTGATTTGAGTGTGCAGTATGTTGAGCACTATATAAATCCTTGTAATAAATGCCATAAGATGATGATTTTTTTTTTAGCATAGTGGAGAGAAAGCGGACACATTTTTCTGCAGTATCTGTGTATTTAGTGGTTTGCCTGGAGTTCAGCTTCAATGGAGTATTGAGAGAAAAACAAGAAAATTTAGATGGCAAATCTATTGAGAATGAAATGCAGTCTAGCAGTGGGAGGCAAGGAAAAGGGGCACAATTATGTTCTTTTCTCATGTTTACATTAAAAATAGAATTCCAGACAATCTTGATAGGTGTGAGGAAGGACTAAAACCTGCTGCACTGGGGCGATTTTACTCATTTGCTCTTGTGTCATCATGACAGAGAAGAAAGTCTTCTCCATGGGAACACCGACAACAACAAAATAACTTTTATTAGTAGTGTTGTCAAGGGTTAAAACCTCTGACAGGTTTGTGTTGCCAACTAGGTCCTCATGATCACAATTGTCTTACTTCTTGCTGAACTACCAGGACAAGAAGTGGAAAGAAATCTCCCAAATGGAGACATAGACAGTAACAAGATTATAAATAAGGTCCTAACCATTCCCCTCTCTGGAGTTCTACTTCATCTTTGTATTAAAACTGGTTAACATGACCATATCAGGTACTAAAAAAGTCCAGCTGAAAGTTCAGTGTAATAGTAGAAGTATTATACTCTGGTAGTCTAATTTCCACTGACTTCTTGCTCTGGTGACAACTCTACAATTTTGGATACACTTTGAGTGACAATGGTCACCAAAGACAAATAGAGCCGTGAATCACTCCAGCGGGAAGAAAAATGCTCTCTAAAATTAAACTTCCTATAAATATAAATTTGGCTTTTGAGTGGCACTCACCCTCCTTCACTCTCCACATCTGTATGTGCAGCCCCAGAACTAGCAGTAAAATAAATAGAACTGGAACCAGTAGAATCTGTTCGCTCTCTATGGAGAAAGACTCTTCGCCGACGACTGGTCTTCTGGTTCTCCTCCAGGTGTGTCCTGCAGAAGGAAAACAAAGTTGAATTTCACTGTTGTGTGCTCATTTTTCTGCAAATTATTTACAAGAAATGTGATTCTATTAAGACAGTGGTCAAATGATGAAACGGTATGCCTAAAAAAGGCAAGTATGAAAAGTACATTTTAGAAGCTTCAATGCTACAGAATACAATTACCTTAATACTATAATGTTCACACTGCATTCTTAAAAATGCATTACCTTACCCTTAAAAAAAAAAAAAAGACAGCCATTCTCCACTGAATATTGCATTTCAAACAGTGCCTAGATTATTATTAACATTTAATATTAAAATATGTAGGGCTACAACTAATGATTATTTTCATAATTTATATTTTTTCGATTGGATAAAAAAATAAAAAGGATCCTTAAATTTAAAATACCGTATTTGCCGGCGTATAAGACGACCCCCTACGTTTTGTGTTAAAATATAGGTTTTGGGCTAAACTCGTCGTATAAGACGAGTATAGGCCAAAACAATGTTTAAATGCACCCACTAACATCCATGGCGGTATTCCCGAGTGTGGCTCTGGGTTAATTTTCAGTACCATAAGCAGTAACCCCGAGCCACACTTGGGATTACAGTCTCTTACCTTGTCCACGATCCCCGCTGTGCCCTCCATCTTCCGCTGAGTCAATCACGGCAGGCTTTGTATTTGATGAATACAGGCTTTGAATACAAGCTACATACAGTATACCGTATCCTTCCGTATGTACCCGGCGTATAAGACGACCCCCGATTTTCGGGGGATGTTTTAAGGTCTCAAAACCCGTCTTATACGCCGGCAAATACGTTAAAATAAATATACAAATGTGGTGTTACAAACAAAGTTTACTTCAGAATAAAACTGCATGCACACTTTTTTGCAATCGCACTGCACTGGAACGTACGGCATTGCAGTATGGTGCATTTCCAGTGGGGGCAATCACATTGTGGGAGGCACTGCAGCAGAATTGGTCAGGTCAAAACTGAAAATTACTTTTTCCCCCCCTCATCATTCTAAAGGGGAGTATAGAACAACGTTTTCACAGTTGGTACATTCAGACATTAAATTGCTGTGTAATAATAAGCGAATGACCAATACTAACCTTTCCTTGAAAGAAAGGTCAGTTATAAAAAACCTTATGGAAAATAAAGACCTTATCATAAGACAGACAAGGTTGGTGGATTAGTATTATAGAACAAGGTCGTTTTTCTGGCAGAGGCATTTAGGCTATTCTCAGATAAGGAAACAAACTTTAAAATGAATAAAGATTGAACTGAGGAATATAAGAAACAACTTCATTCCATACTGTCTAAAGCCTAGGATAAAAAGGTATTATTACAAAGACAGAGTTTAAGTATTTAAATATGGTACATCTAGTTACTCCCCATTTTTATCCCCTTCCTAAGATACTCCCCATTTTTATCCCCTTCCTAAGATACATAAGGACCCCGAGAAGCCTCCAGGTAGATCCATTTTTGCGGGGATAGATGATAGCATGACATACAATTTGGCAAGGTCTCTAGATCACTTTCTACAAACCCTAGTATGGGATTTGCCCTCTTATGCAAGACTCGGGTCATGTACTGGACATTTAGGCCAATTACAAGTGGAATAATACCTACATTTGGGCATCCCTGGATGTATCGTCATTATACACATCTTTTGAACATGGTTTTGGGGTATGAGCTGTCCAACATTTTTCTGGAGTCTATTGAATTTGTTTTAACACGCAATTATTTTAGCTTTTTGGGTGACTTCTATATCGAGAATAAAGGCACAGCGATGGGTGCCAGGTTCTCCCCGAGTTAAGTAAATTTGTTCATGGGTTTATGGGAATCCATGTTCATTTGGTCCAATAACCATTTTGCGGTGAACCGGGTACTATTCCTAGGTTATAGATGACATACTCCTTATATGGGATAATATTAATAGGCTGGAAGAATTTGTTCAATATTGCAATGATAATCCTTATTGTATTAAATTCAGCTCAGTCATTATGAGAAATATCTGGTATTCTTAGATTTGGAGTTGAGTTTTGATGATGAGGATAAAATCCTATCCAAGACGCACTTTAAGCCAACAGGAGCGAACTCCTATATTCATGCTGATAGTGGACATCACCCTCGCTGGATTCAACATATCCCTGAGGGCCAGTTTGGGAGATTGAGGAGAACATGTGCTAGGACAGAGGATTCTGATGCTCATGGATTATTGTTAAACACATTTTTGGACAAAGGTTACGAAAAAAGTACATTGAGTCTGTCTTCCTTAAACATAGACAAGGTCAGATTAAAATAAGTAGGAAACTTGATGAGACTAATAACCACAACCTCTCATTTAGTACACAGCTTAATAAAAGCGCTTCCCAAGCTTGACACGTTTGGTATCTATTTATCCGACGTGACCCCGACTTTCATATTTTACCAAAAAACTGGGTAATAATAAATGTTTCCTAACAATGTAAAAAAAACTTTTTTTTTCAAAATTTTCTTTAATTTTTCCTAATTAAAGTAAAAAATGAAAACACCAGTGGTGATTAAATACCACCAAAATAAAGCTCTATCTGTCCCCAAAAAATGGTATAAAATTAATTTCAGTACAGCGTTGCATGACGGAATAAACTTCAGTCAAATTACCACAGCGCTGAATACTGAAAAATGGCCTGGCCAGGAAGGGGGTCTATACACCTGGTCTTGAAGTGGTTAAACAAGATCCAAACTTGAGAGACTCGTTTTCAGACCATCCTAATGTTATTTTCCAAAAACCCGAGAACCTTGAAGAGCATGCTGGACCCCAAACGAAATTAAGGCAGAAAAATCCTTAAATTTAGGCCTAGGGTTGTTTGGCCAAAAGGGGAATTATAGGTGCAATGCTCCAAATTGTGGCCTATGCCAATTCATGTGGCATAGGAAAAAAGAACTGGTGAGTGCTCAGGGCCAGGCGTACACCATCAATCAATTCATAAATTGTGTGACTAGTTATGTCATCTATGGTTTGATTTGGCCCTGTGAGTCAGGGTAGGTGAACATAAAGAGAAATATAATGAATAAAGCTGACCACTCTGTACCGAAGCACTATTTGTTATGCCTTAATGCTCGGCCTGAGGGACAAAGAGCCTTTGGCATTGAAGCAATCACATCATTAGGAGATGAAGGTGTAAGGTTTAAAGAAACTTTGCACCACAGAAAGTTTCTGGATATATAAGCTGAACAGTTTGACACCCAATGGACTGAATTAAAGCTTGGAAATTTCTGCAGCAATACAAGAACTCCTAGTCTGCTTATTTTAGAGTCAATTTTATGGGTTAGCATTGGAAAGTTTTTTTTTATATGTTTTAATTAGAGATCTTTTGTATAATATTAGGCGTTTTTAGTTTTTTAGATTATGAAAACTGGGGTCATTAGACACATCATTGAGTTCTAAAGGGATTGTTATACTTTCATGTCCATTTAATGTATAACGTTAATTTATTCCTTTACTTAGGACGTTAGAGTCAGTTTTTGTAGTTTTTAATACTCCTTATGAAATATTTTGATCATTGTTAAGTCATAATTATTTCTATATTCATTTTAGAAGTGATGTTCTAGTAGAAGTATACTAACTAGCTTGTGCTTTGGTCTAATTGATTTTATATGGTGGTGGTTTTCTAAATTTCCACGATCTAGGTCGATAGCTGTAAGAGTTAACAGAGTGGAGATCAGTATTGTCTGCACCTGATTGGTGCTCTCACCGACCACTAATAAAGTAGTTCCCGGGGTCTATGATTGGCTATTATTTATGTCTTAGAGTCTAGCTGGTTGGTGATTGGAGGAACTGATGAAGGGGGCGGGCCGTTGAAACGCATCATCCGCTACCACCCCGTCGGCGTTAACCGTTACACCGACTGGTAGTTTTATTATTGTTCACCTGGATAATGCACATGATGTTGCGCTCCTGTGTTTTTGTTTTGGTATTCGCGAGAGCGTTCCAATCTGTTTGAAGAACAGCACCCCTGGCCGTGTCCTACACAGAAGAGTTTGATAATTCACTGACAAGCGCCTGATGAACATTGTCGATTTTGAACATAAACAAACCGTTAACCCCTGAAGTGTGGGGGCAGCCCCACTGCAAGGAAAAACTTTTAATTTCACTGGAGTTAGGCTTTAAAAAAGGAAAACTATGGGGTCAGGGCTTTTTCCCATAGTTCTCCTAAGGGTAACGGGAGGACACAAACTAGCGTTCTCCCGTGATCCAAAGCTCAGTATACCGTGAGCTACAGCTTGCGGTATACTGAGACGCCGGAACGGATCCCGACATTGCTGTCGAGATCCACCCAGCTGCATGCTTTAAAATAATATTTTTTAAAAGTATATTATATACACACACACTGTTTATTAATACTTTTATTAGATAAATATTAATTTTATAATAATATAAAATTATATTAAGTAATAAAGTTAATGTTGACTTAACAGGTCCACAGCTGAAGGGTGAAAACAACTCTGCAGCTCAAGTGATTGCGGAAGAACCAATCTTCACAATTTGGCCATTCTGCTCCATGAACACTATAAACAGTAGCAGAAGTCCTGAAATACTTCCCTTCGCTGAAGACACCAATACACTGGCTGGTCATGCTGACACTGTTATGCAGAACAGCAAATGAACCAAGCAAGGTTTGGATACCCCTTCAAAAGTCATCCCGTGATCAAAGTTTGGTCGTATGGCCCTGTGACTGGCAAATAGGGAATTCCTGAAAAACTGGTGAGTATGGACAGAAATTCAGATCTGCATTGCCATTCTAAAGAGCATATCATCAAAATACTAGTGAAATGAACCCTAGACCTGAATTCCTCTGAGCCACTATGAATATATGTATTTACACTTGCATGAAGGTATTGGGGAATGGAACCCATAACATTGCAAGTCAGGAGCATTACTGTCGAAGATATCATAGCTCCGCTTTCATGCGACATGACAATACTCACCGAACTTCTCCTACAATATCAGCAGCTAGCCCATGCAGACTATTCCGCAAAGATTCAACCTCCTTCTTCACCTCTGTAATGCTGCCAAGAACATAGTCCAGGCGGTTCAACAGCTCCATCTGTTCCCCATGAGATACAACCACAACGTCTGCCCTTCCTGATAATGCTAAAATAAAGCAGAGAAAACTATAAAATACAAATGACACAGCACTAATGTCCTTTATTTTTCTAGGTACATTTTTTTTAACTGTAATGCCGAGCAATAGGACAATATAAAATAGATACCTGGTGAATAATTTGATGTTGTAGCAACATTATCATGTTTTGATAGTGTTTGCATCTGATATCCATTTCGCTTTGATAAAACGTTCTTATTCTGCTTCCGATGTCTCCGATACACTACGTAAACTACAGCTCCAGCAGCGACACCAGCGATCAACCCTAATCCAAATCGGTATGTAAAAATAAGCTTGTACATAGTGTCTTCCTGGAAAGAAAACATACCGATTACTTCTGTATTCAAAATAACTTCAACAAAAGCAATATAAGGAAACATTACAGAAATGCTGTGCAACTTTTTTTTTTTTGCTGGACAGTGCCAGCTTTTTACAGCAGGATAGATGGCAATTGTTGTTCACTTGGCTTATCCTTCTGCATACAGCATACTGATGGTTATACTTGAGAGACCAGAGCCATTTCTTCAATGCAGTGCAACAGAGGACCTCTGCTGGATACCTATTGCAACGCTGTAAGAGGTCCAGATTCTACATTTTTCAGACACTTTAATGCACGTGTCAAACTCAAGGCCCAGGGGCCGAATACGGCCCACCAGGCCATTTCCTAGACCTCTACTTTCAGATCTAGGTTTTAAGTTATTACTAAAACCAGTGATAATCGAATGCAGAGGCAATTATGATAAAAGATTAGATACATTTATATAGCCTTACAAATACCTTTGAGGGCAACCATAATGTTGATGCGGCCCACGATTAAATTGAGTTTTACACCCCTGCTTTAATGCATCCAAACTCTAATTGATGGATGCTTCCTTCCATTATACCCACTGATGGCCTTTTTGTATTTGTGTCCTTTAGTGTTTGCAATTTCACCTGGTGTACCTGCTGGAAATAGCCCTCTCCATGCCTTGCTGACATAGCAAGGAGCAGTGTTGTCACCCTATAATGGCCAATTCCAATCTAAAGCAAAGAGTACCTATACAATCAGCCCAGTGTTCAGGCCGTCAATACCTGCTGTTCTTCTGCACCCTTTCCCCCGTTATGATTGTAGTGCCTGTGCACTCATGCACATACCAGAAAAAATTAAGCCATAGCCGTCGAGATGCTCACGCTGCTCTAGATTTCTTGCACATAAAGTACATTTTTAAAGCTTAATTAAAAATGGCTAAAGCAAAAACTTTTTTGTTTCTATTTTGCATGGAGTAAGGAATGGTTGAGCATTTGAAACCCGGGTAAGAATTATTTTTATGCCATCTGTGTCGCAATGTGCACATTTCCCTTTACAGCCTGTCCCATAGGCACAAGTGGAGGCGAGAGGACACCAGAGCTAGGCAAATACTCTTACTTTGATTCTCCCTTTATTCCTATTCTATTGACAATTCAAAATTTGTATTTCCCATCACTATCTGTACTGATAATAATGATCAGCAGAGTCAACAAAGAGGGGGACTCTCTCCAGCAGGAAAACAAAGCAAAAAAAAACCCAACAGTGGTTTTAACTCTTTCCTACTTTATCCAAAATTTGAAAGAAAATCCAGAGTTAGATTTACTGGTAACCATTTCCCCGAGTCTTTCAGGACAGACCATAGCAGAGAGCAACCTCCTCCAACAGGAAAAGCATCACCAAAAACACTTTAAAGGAAGTCCTTCTCTCCGTACACTCATCCTTTTTTTCACTGCCACTAAACACACTATTGCGAAATCATGGCTATCTACTTTGCTCCCTTTTTCCAAAGTACAGCATAGGTTACATTTGATTTTCATAAACGAACAGATAACAGCTCGTTTGTTAGATAAAGTTCCCCGATCTGAGCGCCTTTGGGGCCATGGTTGCAATACTTACATTCACATTCCTTTGATCTACGTCTCACAGAATTTTGATGGCTAGTATTATCCAAACTGGCTTGGTACTGTTTTTTTCCCTACTGGTAGTCCTGGATCCCTACGTTCCTGAATCTCTTCTTTTCTTGGTAGTTCCTTTATACTAACTGATGTGAAACATGTTTTCATTCGCTTAAGATTTTTTTGTAGGTTTCATTATTTGTTTTTATTGCTCTGTGTTTTGATATATTACTGTTTTTGATTGCTCTTGACATGTCAACCTCTGTTGTTATATCATTGACTTGTTTACCTTTAAAACTTCAATAAACATTTTATTTTAGGATTGAAAAGTCCTTCAGCCAAACTTGTCAGTATTAAACACGAACCAAAGGATGTAATCTGCAGCAAAAACATATACAACAAAAAAAGAATATAACACAAGGGCGGGAAGACTCATGGAAATAGTAATTGGTAAATCTAACTTTGGATTTCCAAAACCATCTTCCAGGGCAGCCTACGTAAAGGATAAGTAGGAAGTTACCAGGTTATGAATGGATAAAATCCTGGAGAACTCAGCCAAAGCCTGGCGGTCGCAATACCCTTTCAACAGGTTAAATTGAAAAGGTCGTGGAATATGGTTCATAAGATGCAAAGCATTCTCCTCGACACAGACACAATAATGTTGCTTTTTATTATTATTTTCTGATCACCTTCGGAATCTTTTAAATTTGTTAAGTGTGGATAATTTCCGTATACATTATCACTGTACCTCAGTGTTCACCCCATGCTTGCCCTAACTCCTTTGTGTTTCCTGTATGTGTGTTTACGGTCACGGTGACCGTAATAATTCTAGGAGGACGATAGACACTGTACTCGATAAGTCCTTGATGACGCTGCTATGTTTGTAATAATGACTCTTTTTCTTGAAAATTAAAATACTTGAAAGTAAAATCCTGGAGAACTCTGCTCCCACTGGGATGACCATATGAATTACAGATATGGTGGAGCCCTGTATTGTGTGTGTGTGTGTGTGAGATATATATATATATAATCACACACACCTCTCAACAGTGTAAAATAAAAACAAAGGCCTAAACTGCAGGGAAAAGTATATGCCATAACAGGAGAAAAAGAACTTGTGTATATAGCTAAATTACAAGTGATCAGCCTGTGGCTAACTATGCACAAAGTTGCACAGGGCTGACTATGCAAAGAATATACTATCTATTTTAACAATCATAAAGACCCAAGACTAACGAAGCCTTGGTCAACTAAGGCAGGGCTAGACTAATCTCAGGAGCCAGGTAGCCAATGCGCTTTCTCAAGTCATCAATGGAGCTGGCTTCTAAAAACAAAAAATTCTGGACTGGACAGACAGGCTGCTGAATTCCATAGTCTGTATGGCTCAACATAAAAGAGTATTAAAGGAATTTATTGAGCCATCTATTTGACTCTTATCACTTGCAGCCATGAGCATTCTAGATAGGAGAGATATGTATGTAGCATTCCTGCATATTTATGAAGAAAACACTTTATGACATCTTGAGTGTAAGCTGAAATCGTATAGCCTCACCAGAACATTAATGAACAGACTTGGGTCTAAGCTGTGGTAGAGATATAAAGCCATACGCCATATCATATAATACACATAGGAAAGAAAGGTCTGCTGCAGAAGCACACGCACAGAACATTTCCATCTAAAGCCGGGATAGTGAATTAAAAAAATTCAAGGAGGTCTGGTGAATAAAAATCATCATCAAGAACAGTCCACCATTTAGGTTGCATTCACACCAGCGGCTACACTACAACACACAGCTGCTGATGCGTGTTCCCAGTAGGGCTGCAACAACTAATCAACAATAATTGATTATGAGAATAGTTGGCAACTATCCTCATTATCAGTTAGTGTGTGTGTGTGTGTGTGTGAAAAAAAACTGGATACCAGCAGTCCTAGCAACCAAGGACTGAAGTGGAGCGTGGCTGGATTCTGGTGTATCCACTGTCAACCAGCTATAACCCAGTCCAGGTCGGCAATCTCGGTCCGGACAGAACCGTCACTCAGTCTGTGTCCGGACCACAATACGCCATTTAGTGACCCCTGGTCTAGAGGATGAAACTTGAATACTGACCAGTTTTAGCAGAAGGACTTTCTTTTAAAGTGTTTTTTGGTGATGTGTTTCCTCTTACTGTTAGAGGAGTTGTCCATCACTCGTGCTGTCCTGAAAGAAGATTTAGGGAAAAAGTCTCTTTAAATACCCGTTAAAGTGAACCTGTTCTGATAGAAACATTGGTGCCATGACACCAGATTTGGTGTGGTTAAGCGATTCAATAAATGCCAACGCTAAAGGATCAACAGGACAGTCAGGGAACTATCAACTTCTAAAAGAAGTCTATACTTGCAACACATGTATTTTGATCATGACAGGTTCATGTCATAACACACATCAAAGTTCAAAAGTCTATTGTCACAGAGTCAACTGCAAACAAACCATACTGATCAAACACAAAACTATTGCCTTCAAAGCACTATTCTGGAGCTAAAAGGTTACCACTGCCGTATACTAGGAGTATGGACAAGTACTGATAACAGGAATGCCTGCTGAGCCCCATAGATCAAAGTGGCACCTGTATGTAGCTGTCAGTATGGGAGGGCCTTTTTCTGTACTCCTTGATGTCCACCAATCTAATGTCTATGCAGTGGCGGAACTACCGCCGGTGCAGGCAGTGCAGACGCACCAGGGCCTCTAGGGGATGTCTATGTGTATGAAACAGTGGAACACCCGCTTACTGTAATGTGGAAATACCCTTTTAATTGGAATCAATCTTCCTGAAAATATGGTTAATCAAGTTCAACCTACACATACACCTTACAACCATTGCAAGACTTATGTCCCATCTTGGACCGGCAGATCGTACTTGTGATCATCGCAAGCCCACCCTGCTGAGGGGCGGGCTTCCGATGACTGCAATGCTGAACGGGCAGTGTGCGCACACCGGCGCGTGCAGCATTTGTCTTACGAGCAGGTCACAAACCCGCCGAAAATCGTACGATTCTCGGCGGGTTTTCAACATGCTCGTAAGACAAAAGAGTGCGACCGTACAGTGGAAACGTTTGCACGCCTTCCATGCGCCTGCCGATTATAGTACGATCGCGGGATTTCGGCAGGTGTATGGGCACCTTTACTCTTCCCCAGCTCTTCAAAGCGGATACTGCATACACAGATGTATTTTGTCCATGCACACAAATTAGTAGTAGTTTCTGGAAACATGCATTATTCTGCCCAGCTGTAGTCACACATACATGCACATTTCCATGTATCTATAGCACCCGCCCTTACTTCTAAAGGTCACTGCAGCCGGTAATGTCCCAGGTACAGAGGTCTCAGCATAGTGCACCCCAGTGTGCAGAAAAGCACAAGGATGTGTATTCTCCTATCTGATCAGATGAGCTGTAATGTGACCTGTTTTCCATAGAGGTCTACTTACATGTTTAAGGTACACTTCACCCAGAACTGAAAGCTAATGTGTGTATTGCCTATTCAGGTTCACATTATAAGCCTGGTCTGTAAAGATAAAAAGGTATGGAACTAGGGCTGCAGCTAACGATTTTCATAATAAATTAGTTAACCGATTATTTTTTCAACTAATCGAGTGGTTGCATTAATAAAATAATCTCTCTCGAATAGTTGGCAACTATTCTCATAGTCTATTATCGATTAGTTGTTGCAGCACTGTATGAAACAAGCAGTATTTGTTCACTGGCCGATTTCACCAGTTGTTGGAAGTGTTCTTTAAACCTGAACTGCATCCGAAAACAAAACGATTGTAAATAATATACCAGCTATGCAAGTTAGCCCTAATTATAGGTATACTGTGGGTGTGGATTAGGGATGCACCAATACGAGTACTCGCCCAAATGCTCCAGATGCCTATCCTGATACCAGAACTTCCGGTATCAGGAAGCCGGGCAGCAAGTCATTACATTCCGCCCGGCTTCCCAATTGGCCGGGAAGCCGGCTCCCTGCTCCCTCGTTACTACGAAGGCAGGTAAAGACTCGCCCCCCGGCTTGCTGATTGGCCAGAAAGCAGGCTCCATGCTTCTTCGTCACCTGGTGACAACAGAGCATGGAGCCAGCTTCCCGGCCAATCAGGAAGCCGGGCGGCGTGTAATGACTCGCCAGCCGACTTCCTCATTTGTCAGGAAGATGGCCAATCAGGAAGCCGGGCGGCGAGTCATTACCTGGCCCCCGGCTTCCTGATTAGCCAGAAAGCTGGCTCCATGCTCCCTTGTCTTCCTGGCTAATCAGGTAGCTGGGCGGCGAGTCATTACACGCCCCCTGGCTTCCTTAATGGGACCTCAGGTATCGGTGAGTACCGGAAAAAAATATTGGTACTTGTACTCGATACCGAAAAACCGGTAATGGTGCATCCCTAGTGTGGATGTCAGCTACATTGTATAAAAATCATACTTTGATACAAGCAGGATCCTACACACAGCACTGGATTTCCGCATGCTGCGGGAATGAGAACAGCAGCTACGGCAGTGAAGGGCTCCAGTTGTATCCCCACCCCCTCACACAGATTCAAAAAGTCTTGTCTTTTTTTTTTGTTTTTTTTTACAGAATACATGACGGCGATTTATAAAAAACTTTCACACAGCAAACTGCTCTGCAAACTGCATACACAGCCCATTATGGCCACTAGATGGAGCTGAGAAACATTGGAAATCTCCACGTTCTTTGACTCCATCCAGTGGCCATAAAGCTCTGTGACTCTGTTCGCGTGGTGTTCTCTGTGTGAACAGTACACCCCTATGGGGTTCTGTGAATGGAGGGGTTCAATGTGATGTCTCCTCCTCCATTCACTGAGCACCATGTTTTACACAAGGCTGTTTATGAATGGAGTAGAGAGGAGGGGGCAGGGATGAGACTACCATAGTCACTGCTCTCATCTCCACACTACCAGGAAATCCAGCACTGTGAATAAGATTTGGCTGCCCTCTATACACAGTATTAACACCAACTTTCAGTACCGATCTCCATCACCCACTGCTGACCTCCATCATCCCACCTCCAGCACACAGTACCAACCTCTATAACCCATCTACCACACCCAAGAGCATCCTTTGTCACCCACCTCCACCAGCACTGACTTTCATCAAACAGCACTGACCTTCTTTACCCAGCACCAACCTTCATCATCGAACTCCAGCACACAGCACCGACCGTCATTACCCGCCTCCAGCACTCAGCACTATCCTCCAGCACCCAACTCCATAATTTAACACAAACCTCCATCGCCTAGCTCCGAAACTCAATCACCCAACACAGACCCCCAGCACCGACCTCCATCACCCAGCACAGACCTCAAGCACCTAGCTCTGAACTCTAGCACCAACCTCCATCACATACCCCCAGCACCGAACTCCATCACACAGCATGGACCTCCAGCGCCAAATTCCATCATCCAGCACAGACCTCCAGCACCAAACTCCTGGAGGTCTGTGCTGGGTAATGGAGCACAGCAGCACAGACCACCGGCACCAAACTCTATCACCCCGCTCTGAAACTCAAACACCCAGCTCTGAACTCCAGCACTGACCTCCATCACCCAGCACAGACCTTTAGCACCAGACTCCATCACCCAGCACAGACCTTCAGCACCAAAACTCAAGCACCCAGCTCTGAACGCCAGCACCGACCTCCATCACAGACCTTCAGCACCAAACTCCATCACCCAGCTCCAACCTCAAGCACCCAGCCCAGACCTCCAGCACGAAACTTCATCATACAGCACAGACCTTCAGCACCAAACTCCATTACAGGCACCCAGCACAGAGATCTACCACCGACCTTCATGTGCCATTCACCCCATGCTGACACTGTCACACAGTCGTATAAGGCAAGGGCACACTGGCAATTGCCCCTTTTCCCTTGCCCAGTGTACCGCTACCCAGCACTGACATACCCTCCTCCTCCTCCTCCTCTTCCTTCTGCTGGCTGAAACTGGCGGAAGTAATGAACAGGGAGCCTGGTAGACATGCCGGATGACTGCGCATGCGCGCTTCCCTCTTCCGGGTCCCGGGAAATTGCACTATTTCCATAGCATATTAGCATAGTATGGGGAGGAGGAGTCCGAGGTCTGTCAGCCGCCAGTCACAGCGGTGCCATGTAATACGGTGAGAAATAAAACAGAGAGGAACTCAGAGCTGTGACAGCATTATATGTCCATTCATAGTGCTCTATACAGAGGTGTCACCCGCAGCTTGTGTCACACCCCACGTTATAATATCACAGAACTATTTCTATACCCATTTATTTTGGTCTTTAGATGTCATATTGGCAAGAAAGATTTTGGTTCTATCCACACGTTCCCAAATAGTGTATAAAAGTGGGAACACACTAATGGCTTAAAGTCCATTTTATTTCAGCAGTTTCTTTAAAGTTTATGTTTTTAACCCTTTGACTGCCAAGCCATTTACTAAACACCAAGGCAAAGGGTTAAAACAAGCTTGTTTCACAGCAGAACTCTGGGTAAAATGTAGAAAGTAGTAAGTCCCTCTGCACTCCTCACAGCGCTCCCAGCCCAAGTACTTGTAGTGGTGCTCGCAGTGGAAAGCAGAAATCACCAGCACTCAGTAAATATCTTTGATGTCCATTTAATCGGATCAATTGTCATGTACAAAATAGCGATGTTTCGGGACCGCACAGGATCCCTTCATCAGGGCGACAATATATCAATACAGCTACATATATACCCCTTGAAGATAGTTTTGTAACCTCCCCATGACGTCATCATGGCGGGAAAAACGCAATGTTTAAAAATGTAAACATCAATATAAAGTGCTCAATACAAAATACTCATATCAAGAGAAACCGACATATATTGAATAAATAGAGGCGACAATACCAGATCGTGAGGCAGATTCGTGGTATTTTGTATTGAGCACTTTATATTGATGTCTACATTTTTACCTTTTTAAACATGACATATTGCACCGAAAATGGAAATCTTAAAACCGAAACGAAAACCAAAATCAAAAAAGAAATGTTGGACCGAAACCGAAAAAATTATTTTTCTAAATTTTTTCAAATTTTTATTTTTTACATTTACAATATTTTATATTTTATTTATGTTTATTAAATTTGTACACCGCTTTCCATCCTGACTCCTCGCATGTCAAGAGTTCAGCCTCTTGTGACAGCTGACAGCTCTCCTCTCCACACCGTCCCGCTTGGCTTCCTGAGAGCTGTCTCCTCCCTGCACTGCCCCACTCAGCCTCCTGAAAGCTTCTCCCCGATGGGTGCCAGCAGCTGGATCCTCTGTGTCCCCTCAGATCCCCGCTGCCTCTGCCAACATAAGCGGGGGAGAGCAGTGGGCATCGGAGGGGACACAGACCGGCATCCAGTGGAGGGGACAGAAGCTGGGGATGCACTGAATTTTCAGCCGCATTTTCGGCCGTTTTTGCCATTTTGCCCTAAATACCATTTTTGGCGTAAATATTTTGGCAGCCAAAATTTCGGTGCAACCCTAGTATATACAATCTTTGTTCTTCAAAGAATACATGACAAAGGATATCAAAAGCACCATGGATTAGCAACAAAAATCCATCCAACAAAAACAAGCTTGCTTTGTGGTCACTATGGGGGGGAATTTATCAACTCTGGAGCAGTTGCCCAGGGCAACCAATCAGCTTCTCTCTTCGGTTTGCTCAGGTAAGATTTAAAAATTAGACAGAGAAGCTGATTGGTTGCAGTGCAAATCTGATCCACATTTTGCCTGCTCCAGTTTTGATAAATTCCCCCCTGTGTTGTTTGGAGCCCAATTCCAGCCAAAACATTTTATTTAGTTTTAGCAACAGAGGGGAAGAGTTAGAGCCCTTGTCAGGTTTTTATTGCCATCAGTTCTCCTAGTGGGGTGATTTCTCCATCATTTCCAATCACAACAGTAAGTCATTGGAAATCTCTTCAACAAAGACACAAAGATCTGCCTTCCTGTCCTGGTGACGATCACACCCCCCATGTTCTGTACGGGTGTCACAGGACAGGAAATGACAAAGAAAAATAAGGCGCAATTATACATGATTCAAATGATCAGATCAGTCAGATTGTGATAAAACACAATGGGGGGAATATCAAAACTGGAGCAGGCAGACTATGGAGCAGTTGCCAATGGCAACCAATCAGCTTCTATCTTTTATTTTTAAAGCTTAAAGGAGAACTATGAGATGAGTGATTTCCATTCACCTCATAGTTCTAGCCGACCTGTGACAATGAGACTGTTACAGGTCGGCTCAGTAGATCGGGAGGTGAGCGAACACATACTGGGTTCGCTCACCTCTCGATCCTGTCACGGCTCTCTGCCGTGACAGGGGGAGGGGCTGGATTCCCCTCTCCCCGCTCCGATCTGCCAGCGCTGACTGGCGTAACGGACGGGGGAGGGGGCGGGTACAGCTGGCTCTGCCTCTAGATAGGCAGAGCCAGCTGTCACTCACGCAGCTGGGCGGATCCCGTCATCTACGTCGGGATCCGCTCCGGCTGCGGCGTCTCAGTATACCGCAAGCTGTAGCTCGCAGTATACTGAGCTTAGGGTAATGGGAGGACGCTAGTTTGTGTCCTCCCGTTACCCTAAGGAGAACTATGGGGAAAAACACTGACCCCATAGTTCTCCTTTAACTGAACAAATTCAAGAGAGTAGCTGATTGGTTATTATGGGCAGCTGCTCCAGATTCTGTCTCTCCAGTTATGATAGATCCCCCTACCCCCCACCATGGTTCTGGTGAGGCCATTGTCAACAAAAGGGGAGAAAGTCCTCAAACAAGGTGCCCAGATTTTAAGAATTGAGTATATAAAGTTTGAGAGCACCATACAAACAGTCTGAGAGTATAAAAACGTTTTATTAGGCCTTCCTTTCTTTCTTCCCTACTAGTGATCTGCCCTGAAGCTGAACCCAGGCACTCTTCTGTGACAGACTCTGGTACTCAGGATGAGTAGGCCCGCCGCTGTAGTCTTCCTTGCTGAAGAGATGCAGCAACCAGATGATCATTAGCTCCCAGTCCACCCAGTCACTAGCCGAAACCAAGTGTAGAGTGAAACAAACTCTCTTTATTGAGCAACTGTAAACCTTTTATACACAAAGTGATCGATAAGGATCACATCACATACACCCTGCCCTCCCCAGACATTCTGACTGCACAACCCTGCAGGGGTCTAGCTGCTAAAGAGCTCCAGACAGCCATAGCAGGGGCCCAGCCAGGCACATCAGCAGGAGAATGTCATTGTCCCGAGCTCCTTCGGAGTACAAAGAGAGCTAACGGGTGTAGTGATGACAGGTTACCCAGTATAACATTCTTACAAATAACCCAACAATAACACACACAAAAACCCATATACTGATGAGCAGGTCTTCACATAGCTCCCCCCAAATTTGAGGATGGCAGACAGACATCAATCTTCTTTTGCAAATTGAAGTGGCTAATTGTCTAGTAAGAGAGGGGTAGAGGTACAGGATACCCAAAAACAGTAGCACAAATTCTCTGCCACAGGCTAAGGTGAACTGTGTAGGCCCAAATGGGTGGCTACCTTGAAATGTCTTTGGCCTCTGCCACAGAGCAAGTTAGGAGTCCTCAGACCTCTCTGAGACCAGCTGTAGATCTTTAAGCCCAGACGGGCAACTATCAGAGCAGAACTCTTCTTCAGTTTCAGCTTCCTTCCTTAGTCACAGAGCCTAAGAAGCAAATACTGGACCTCTCTCTTCAGCTACATCCATCCCAGCCAGCAGGCCTGGGAGGCAAGGACTTCTGCACTCACATCCTCTCCAGGCAGGGCCCAGTTACCAAAGACCCTTCTAGCAGTTGCAGTTGTAGGCCTCGACTGTGGAGGCCCAAGCATACCTTAGCTAAGGCAAAGCAGTCACAGGCTGGCCACTTCTGGTGGTGGTAGTGACGACCATAGTGATATTCCCAGGCGGTGGTGTGTCCAGTTGTCCAGTCCACTCTCAATGCACTTTGTGGCAAATTAACGTATAGCACCCGCTCCAGCCAAAATCTTCCCACACTTTCCACATGAAATGCCTACAAACCATACCAGCCTAAGGTGCACAGGGTCAGGTGGTTGCCCTCGCAGTCCAGTGTCAAAAAAGGTTTTGCCTCCTGGCACAACTGATCCTCTTGTTATGTCAGGCGCATTAATCTTTACATCCATGGCACTGGTGATTGGTGACATAGCAGCAGCAGGTATCTGACAGCGCACTATATTAGTCTCCGACACATAGCACTTTGTCTCTCTTGTAGTGTACAGGGAAGCTCCAGCGGCAGAGTGCGGTAGCTTCTCCTACTTTGGCCACATAAACACAAAGCCTTCCGGCCACAAAGTCAAGCTAACCCTAGATTACCAGTTTAAGAGACAGAGACTGGTGGTCATTTTCCCCACACAAAAACTCTTCATAAGCGTTGAACAACACATTTGCAATGGTGGAGAAAAGGGTTGTGTTCCTTCCTGGAGATCCGACTGATTATCTGCCCTAATTAGATTTACACAATTGCTTGTTACGTCCGATCCGTGACCCAATTGAACTAGTACAAAAAGAAGAGGGTTAACCTGTTAGAAGATAACGGGTTAGTAGCGGGCAACTTAAGGACTTAAGGATATTGATATATAGTTCACGAAAGTGGACACACGTGTGCAAAGGAAAAAAGAAAAGGAACCGAAGCAATAGCTACATCGGTTACTTTTTCCTCCTCCCCATGGTGGGGATACAAGGTTAATGTTAATGAGGATCGATCCACATATTAATCATGACTGCATGTGTTCTAGAATGTTTTTAATGGTAGTCGGTGAATCTAATGTGCAATAGTGTGTGTTTTTTCAATACAATTATATATATTTTCTACAATCAATTGACGTGTCCGGATCCTTAAGTTGCCCGCTACTAACCCGTTATCTTCTAACGGGTTAACCCTCTTCTTTTTGTACATTTGCAATAGTTGCCCTGGGTCATCAGAGACAGTA